ACCTGTGAGTGCCCGCCTCCAACGAGGCAAGAAGCGGGGGTTCTTCACCCAAGTACTCACATGGAAACTGTTACACATGCACCTGCTCGCTTGACTGTCGGTGAACTTGCCCACTGGATCATGTTTGCTTGATACTCAGAAAAGGAAATTTTGACTAAGAATATAGGAATAATCTGATCAAATTAGTTTTATTTCGCCTTGACTTAATTGAAATGATTTCTAAATTTTCCCAATTATGTGCTTTAATAGACTCTTTTCTGTTTTTCCCTCTCCTATAATTTCCTTTTTGTTTATCAAAGTTATACTATATACATATAAAATTCTATGTACATAAAATTCCATGTACATTTTGATACAACTTTTTAAAAGTTAAAAATTTTTTTATGTGTACAGTAGTATGAGCTTTAACACCTACATAGATTGTTATACCCACTACTATTCACAAAAGACAGAACGGTGCCATCCCTGACAGAATTGCTGGCACAGCCTGTCCATGTTTGATCAGCGGGAAAGTACTAATGTAGTCCCAGCCTCTCTAGTTTTGCCTTTTCTGAAATGTTGTACAAGTAGGGCCATATAGTATATACTCTGAACTAGTGTCTTTCACCATTTTTATATTGCATAGTATATTCATGTAGGCTGTTTTGATGTAGCAATAGTTCACTGCTTTTTATTACTGAGTAGTATGGATTTATCCAGTTACTCATTAAAGGGCATTTGGGTTGTTACCATTTTGGGATATAAACATTTTTGTGAAAACATAACTTTTCACATAGGAACATTTTCACAGCTAAGTCGTAGTGCCAGTTTATATTCCATATTTTAAGTTGTTGCTAAACTTTTCCACAGTAATGATATCACTTTTTACTTTCCCTCCGGCACGGTGTGGGACTTCCAGTTGCTCAGCAGCCTTGCTTTGGATAGTGTTGGTACGTTTGTTTTCATTTTAGCCATTCTAGTAGGTGTGTCAGGTGCACTGGTTGTGCAATGGTTAAGTGGTTGGCTGCTGGGGAGAAAGACCTAGCGATCTGTCCCCATACAGGCTGCAGCCAAGAAAACTCTTTCGACATTGCTGCTCTGTCACTGAGTTCTCTATGAGGCGGCATGGACTCAAGGGCACACAGTGACACAACAGGTGTGCCCTGGTATCTCAGTGCTCGTTTCCCTGGGAACTGAAGATACCGGGCATCTTTCATGTGTGCATTCGCCAGCTGTATGCCCTGTGTGGGGAGATGTGTATTCCTATCCTTTGCCCTTTTGGGGGTGGTAGTGGTGGTTGTGTGTTGAGTTTTCAGACAGGTGACTTCCAAGTATTTTCTCAGTAAATGGCCACTCATCACCTCAGTGTGGCATCTTTTGCAAGTAGTTTTATATTTTGATCCAGTCCTTTGTATTAATTTGTCCTTGTATGGTTCATGCCAAGAGTTTTATAGTTTTGTGCTCTGCAATTCAGTCTGCAGTCCATTCTGAGTTAATTTTTGTCTGTGGTCTGAGGTATAAGTCAAGGGTTATTTTTATGAATAAGGATGTCGGTTTTTTTGGTCCTTTTGTTCAAATGTAGTTTGTTTAAAAGACTGCCTTCTTTTTTTTTTAATCGTTTTATTGGGGGCTCGTACAATTCTTATCACAATCCATCCATCCATCCATTGTGTCAAGCACATTTGTACATTTGTTGCCATCATCATTCTCAAAACATTTGCTTTCTACTTGAGCC